ATACATAAAGGACGGCAAATAAAAGTTTTAAATAAATAAGCATGCGTTTTTTTTAAACCACAGAAGTGCAGTATGAGCCACGTCCCCAGGCTGCAGGCCAAGCCACAGCCACCTCACGGAGCCCGGAGGCAGAGGCGGCGGGAAGAGGCAAGGGGCACCCCGCTCAGCCGGCCACAGCCCCGTCCCCCGCCCCCCCACCGCCCTCCTCACGGCCCCCTCCCAGCCGGGGGGGGCCGCCCCCTGCCCGGCTCCCCGCCTCCCACTCCTGCTCCCCATCCCGGAGCCTGCGAGGGGACCTGCCTCCGGCTCGGAAGCGGCAGCTGTGAGGAGCCAGGAAGGCCTCGGCTGAGGCACACGCGCCCTCGTGCGTCCCCTTCATGGAGGGTGGGGAGGAGGTTACCGTTTGGCGTGCTCGTGTGGGGAAGACGGCTGCCATCGCGACCGCGTTCATGCAGGAACATGGCCGTGATCATGATTGTTACCCAGTGTGGAGCTGGCGAACTGAGGCAAAATTTTTTCGAAATTTCTGTTCACGACCTGATTTGGTTGTCAAGTGGGGCGTTCGTGAACCGAGGTACCACTGAACCCTTTTCAAGGATGCAGCTGCATATTAAAATTCAATTCAGATGTAAGGGCAGGGATTTCCACTAAAGAAAAAGCTCATTTTGTCGGTCATTTGAAAGTCCTCTGTTCTGTAGTGCCTTTTGCAGGAAAGTGAGCTGGGGGGGGCGGGGGGCAGAACGCCATGGGCCCGCTGTTGGTTTTGCACCAGGGAACCCAAGCCCTGGACTGAGCTCCGGGATCAGCCAGTGGGGTTTGCAGTCTTTTGTATGCCGGCGTTCCATCCTGGGCTTGGGGGCAGGAGCGATTTCCCAGTGGAAAGAGGGGGCTTTTGCCTGGAGCTTGGCAACTCCATTGAAAGGGAGGCTGGATGCCAGCACATTGAATGCAGCTCACCTGCCCCCAGATGCAGCCGGCCCCTCCAGGTGAAAGGCTCAGGTGGCAGGTGAAGATGGGGCAGGGCAGGAGCTCTCCGGCTCTGTTGGCCGCCGCTTTCCCGTCCCGCTTGCGAGTGCTGGTCTGTGTGGCTGGCTGACGGAAGATGACGCCCCTTCTCTCGCTTGTACTGTAGTACGCGCCTGACGACTACAACAACCTCATTCCACTCAACGACCAAGCAAGGAGTGTGTTACAAGCACCGAAAGACTGGGTTTGTTTGTAAGTGCTTGTAACCTCCAGTGAAGGTAAGCTCGGCCTGGCAGAAGTGCAGCCCTTGATCGGTGGTGATCGGAAACAATTCTGCGGGAAATGATTTCTTCCTTGCATCCCCTTCCTAGCCCGCGGTGGGGTCTCTGCCCACTAACATTTGCTTGCTTTGGTGCCTTGCATGAATCAACTAACCCAGTGGCGGTTTTGATGATTACGATGGGGCGGCCAGGCCCTCGGGCAGGGGCTGCTTGGCTCCTTGGAAACTGCTCTTGTTCGAAATGATGGTGGTTCGTATTGATTATTGTCTGACAAATCCATTTCCAAGAATTCTGCGTCTGTTGCTGGACACGGAGCAGCAGCAGCAACAACACACTCTGTGTGGAGGCGAGGAAGGCAGAGCGATGGTGGTCGTGTTCCCATGAGCCATGCCCTGCGATTGCATGTGGAACATGGTGGGAACCTTCAGCCTGCGGGCCTCCTGTGGCCTGCGGAGGCTTGGCCTCCCTCCTTGGCCCCACCAGCTCCATCGTCAAATGGAGACTGTGGCCCGGAGGCTGCTACTGGGATGGCAAGAGGGATCCCACTGCTCTGCTGATCCTACACTGGAGAAGAGGAGGAGGTTTCTGTTCCTCGGCATCCCCCGCATGCCCAGCAGGTGGTGGGAGCCGTTTCTGGGCAGAAGGGTCCGTGGGAGAAGCTCTGGGCGGCACCTGGGCTGAGGGTCTTCACGCACGCTGAGGCCTGGGGCCAAAATGCAGACTGCAGGGGGGCCAAAGCTGGGGATGCAGCCTGGCCCGGGAGTGCACAGGGAGGGGCGACATGACTGGCCAGCCCTCTCCCCGCTGACTCCGGCCCCTTTCTCCGATGCAAAGGATGGTTGTGGCCTGTCGGTGATGGGTCCCCTCTCAGCACAGAGGCAGAGGCAGAGGCTGAGGTAACCTCGGACCAGGCAGCCAGCGCTGCGGCCAGGATCTGTGGAACGCGTGGCCCCGAAGGCGCCAGCCCGGATGACCCCACGGCTGTGACGGTGCCAAGGACAGAGAGCGGCTGGAGGCGGGAGGAGCGTGTTGCTGCCGCCTCCGTGGCTGATGGAGCATCGCTCAGTGGTCCCTCTTCAGCCAGAGCTGGAGGCCCGGCATCACGCGTGGGCTGACTGGCTCTTCCTGAGAAATGCACCACTTGGCTCCTGCTTCTCTGCCTTAATTCGGGCATTGCTCCAAGGGAGTGATTTTAATTTTCATCCCGATTTTCTTTTCTTTCTTTTAAACCCACCTTCCCCAACCTGGTAGCCTTCGGAGGCATTTGGACCACAGCTCGCCAGACTTCCCATCCAGCCGTTGACGGGGAATTCTGGGTGTCGCGGTCCAAGTGTCTGGAAGGCCCAAGGTTGGGGAAAGCGGTTTTAAACAAACAAGCATCTTCTGTCCCAGGCTATGAGAAATGTAGTGCTAGGGGAATTCATATGAAAGCAAACACGGGACTGAGCAAACCAAGTGCCACAGCTCTCCAGTGCAGCCTTTCCTTCTCGATCTGGCAATTGAGCCGGCAGAGAAATGGGATGCGGGTCGGGAAGCAGCAGGCTGAGGGGTGCCAACCTTGGCGCCCAGAGTCTGTAAGGCCTTTCCCTGGCCAGGGCAGAACCATCTCCTTGGTGCGGGGCTGGACTCCCCACACTCCTGCTGCCCCCTGTGAGGAGGAGCACATGGCCGGAGGAAGTGGTTTGGCAGTGGCGGCAGCTTGACTGGCCCAGTCCAGACACAGCCTGGCCTGTGCCAACGAGAACGTGACCCAAGAGGTGCCCAGGAAGTGTCTCGGCGTGGATCCGCTGCCGAGGCTTCTCCTCGCATCGGGCAGAGCGGACCTAGGCAAGGAGATGGACCTGTCCGAATTCACAGCCCTACATGAGTGTCCTCGGCAGCAGAGCCCCCTGTAATGACCACACAGGCTGCAACGCAGGGGTTTTGATCCTGTGGGGGACCGCATGCACCCTTGCAGGGTGCTCTTGCTCTTTGTTTTGGTATCCCCGCCCCCCCCCCCCCAAGTAGCCATGCACCTTAACCTGGATCCCCCATTCAGCTCCCCACCTCTGCACGTGCGAACAGATTCCCGCACCCCTAGAAGCAGCCATGGTGTAGACACATCTGCTGCTCCAGGGGGGTGCATGGAAGAGAGCCGGGGGCACGCTCTGCACAGTGGAGAGACATGTCCCTCGAGCAAGAGCCCGGCTGTAACACTAACTCTGAAGTCACGTCTTTACAGGGCCATGTGGCGGGGCTCTGCCTTTTTGGCTGGCTTAAAATCGTTCGGAGGCCGTCATTAAGGGTGAGGCCCCCCAAAGTGGCATACAAAAAACAACCCAGCCATGCAAAACCGTGAAGTCCAACGCTCCAAGCACAAACCAGCTCTGCATGCAAGCGGCTTTCGGGGGCCGCTTTCCACATGGTCGAACAACCCCTGCGCACTGCAGAGTTCTGTGGGGCTGTTGGCCCACGATGGGTGGGGAACATGGGTCCTCTTGCAGTTGGTGGACTGGAACTCCCATCAGCCCTGGCCTGCTGTACAGGGTTGATAGGTGTTACAGTCCAAGAACTTCTGGAGTGCCCCACATTCCCCCATCCCTGCTCAGGATGGGGGCACAGTACAATGTGGGGTGTCTGGCCGGCCCCTAATGCCTCTGTGGCCCCCGCTTGAGCTGAGCTTTGCAGGGGAGGCTCCATCTCTGGGCAAGCTGCTTCTCAGGGGCCCTGGGGTGCTGTCCTGAGCAGTCCCCCTGCATGTCCCTAAGCTCCCCGGAGCCGGCTCAGTCAGGGACTTACGGAGTGGCTTCCTCTATTTTGCGCTCCTTTTTGTGTGCGTGTGTCTCTGTAAATGAGGGATTTCACCTTACTTGGGACTAGAGTCTTGCAGAATGTGGCTGTAATTGGCTCTTGCAGCATGGCTCTTGAATGAGATCTGAATCTGGCAGGCGGTTCTAGCTGACCTTGGGCTAGGTGCCTCCCCCCAGCCTCAGTTCTGCCGTCTGTAGAATGGGAAGAAGCAACACTGCATGGCTAACACCTGCGGTGATTTACAGAGGAGCGCTTCTCCAGGCATTGGCATGCCCGATCTTTAACCCAATTGAAAACGCATCCATGGGAGAAACGTGGGTTGGTTTTTTCTAGAGCCCACCCCCCTTCCCTTCTGTTAGAAAATGTACTCAGGAAGGCATGCCTAATTCTTGTTTTTAGCCCAGGGAAGGAGGCTTGTGCCAAGAGTCAAAAATGCTGCACCTGGAAAGGGATTTGCCAGCTTCCACAAGCTGCGTGCCGGGATTTTAATATTCTGCGCGGTCTCAGGTTGGCTGCCCCACGAAACTTCCCTGGGAGATGCCACAGCTTGGAGTCAGTTGTTCCCAGCCTGGTGTCCTCCATATGTATTGGAATACAACCCCTACCATCCCCAGCCAGCATGGGCAAGGCTGCGAGAGAGCATGACCTTAGCATGCCGAAGGGGTCAGGCCCAGCTGCTCTTCACCAGGTGGCCTCTGGGAGAGCGAGAGGGGCGTTAAGGCAGCTTGGTCAGGGACCTTAGACCTTTTGTCCCAGATCCCCTTTCCTCCACAGCTGAGCCAGTCCTGGGCTGGGCTTTAGGGTCTCAGCGCGAGTGCCGGGAAGACGTGGAGCCCGTGGGAAGCCGGGCCGCTGGCGGCGGCGGTGCACAGTCGTGTCGGGACTGGCTCTGGGTCGGGCTTCTTCCCTTGGCTTGGCCCTGCTTGCCCGGCGACATCTTAACCGTCTGCTCCACCCTTGCAGCTTCACGCAGACGCCGTCCTCCCGCTTTACAACTTCAGCGGCCAGCCGAGCGGCGAAGCCCTGGTCACTTTTCCCAGCCTGGACTCCGCCAAGAAGGCCGTGGCCGAGAGAAGCGGGTGCCTCCTCGGAAGCCACTGCGTGCAGCTGTGCCTTATCTAGCAGCCCTGAGAACAAGCCCCTCCAAACTAGCGCCTGCCGAGAACCGCTGTGCCTGCCCTCTGCCCGGCGCCTTCCTGGGCGGCTGCGGGAGGGCCGTGACGTTGCCTCCAAGCGGCTTCACGGGGCGATGGGAGGACGCCCCTGCACACCCCGTGCTTGAGTCTCACAAGCGTCGCCATGGCAACCACACCCCATTACTTTGGAATAATCTACAGCGCTGCTGCAGCTGTAGCCACTGGCTTAATGTTCTTTAAAACGCTTTACATAACTATTTTGAGAGAAAAATCTGAATTTCATTTTGAACCCGAGCTTGCCAAATATGTGCCTTGTTTTGGTTGGGTGGGAGGGGAGGGGGGGGAAGCGAATGCCCTTCTTTAAAAGAAGGCCTTATACAAAGCATGGCTTCCTGGAATGGGACATTGCCAATCATGCTGTAGGTGTTTTTATTCCCTTTCAGTAGCCAAAGAGCCGGTTGGGAAGCTACGTCTAAATGAAATCACAGAAGAAGCTTTTCCTTTTTTAAATGCGAGCATTTTCTGGGCACGGGTACAACACAAATAAGTAAATAATATAAAGCCATATCTGTCTTACATTCAAGCTGCCAATCCATAAACCAAACAAAGAAACTGAGAACTTTCAAAATCCCACTAGGATGAGAATGGCACATAAACATTGAGGACTAGTAAATTATATATTTTTGTTTTATTTAAGCATCATAGCTCTCAGATACCCTATCCAATTTTGCTCTTCTTTATGTGCATGCCATTTGTTTACACTATACTTTATTTGTATATTACGAAGCAACAGAAGTTGAAATCTAAGCCTAATTAATGCATGTCTCTTTTTTATGTATGTATATATATACATGTTCAAAGGATATAGTTTTATGTTGCATAGTCTGTGCTGAAACATTTACTGTAGAAGCACTACATGATTTTAGTTTTTCTGTGCCTTGATCAGGACTTTCTCAAAATGTGCAATAACAGCAGAGAAAACTGGAAGCGGCCTGTTTGGAAAGAGGCTCTGAAATGCCTGTCTACACAGAGAATGTTTGTTTGTTTTTGCAAAATGTTCGACTCCTGAGTAGTACTGAAAAGGGAATCAAACTCTCTCCCCTCCCAAATGAATGCTGTATGCTTCTTTATATAGTAACAAATAAAATGAGCTTGCAGAAACCATGCTGGCTTGCTTGAACTCAGTAGCATCTCTGGAGCGGAACTTCGCTGCAGGGGCGTCTGCTGAAGAGCGGGTGTGACATGATTGGCCACGGAGCTTCCCTGAAGCCAGCAAGCAAAGCATCGCTCCGTCGGGGCTGAGAAACTGCTCCGTGAAGCATAAAGTCCCAGATCAAACGATCAAACTGTCCTTCGAGCATGAACTCCCTGAATGCCCCCATCTTCACCGCATCAACCCCAGCTTTGCATGTGAAGGACCAGGCCGACTTTACCAGGTTGTTTGTAGGAATATGCATGACATGCCTTTGAACATTCCAAACCAGAAAAATAAATTTGAGAAATATTGGCGATATGGGATTCTGGCTCGGGGTTTGATGGAAGAACCCCTTCCATCTCTGTTCTTCAGATTAGCAGGACCTCCATCACCTGCTTACTGAACAAACTGGGTTTTTTTAGTCAGCTTTTCATTCTACTTGTGACAAGCTACACTGGCATCTGCTTGCTTTAACAAATGCACTTTAAAGCAAATGTCTACTTGTGTTAATGTTGCTAGTCGCGAAGTTGCACCCGACCCATCGTGACCCTGTGGACAACATTCCTCCAGGCTCTCCTGTCCTCCACCATCCCCTGGAGTCCACCTAAGCCCACACCCTCTGCCCCAGTGACTCCATCCAGCCACCGCATTCTCTGCCGTCCCCTTCTTCTCTTGCCATCTATTGTTCCCAGCATTGGGCTCTTCTCCAGGGAGTCCTTCCTTCTCATTAGGTGGCCAAAGTATTTGAGTTTCATCTTCAGGATCTGGCCTTCTAAAGAGCAGTCAGGGTTGATCTCCTCTAGGACTGACCGGTTTGATCGCCTTGCAGTCCAAGGGACTCGCAGGAGTCTCCTCCAGCACCACAATTCAAAATTAGTTCAAATCCCCACACACAGATGTGAAAAACTGAGCTGCAAATTCTGCCTGAAAATGACTTCCGTGGATGCTTTGGTACTGACAGCGCCACTCAGAAAGCAGGCTGGGTTGTACTCAAAGCAACTTTGGGGCATCAGCCTGCCTATGCCCCCCTCCCCATATATACTTGGGTCAAAATATGGCAATCAGCAGGAAAATCATTCTCCTTGAAGCAGTCTGTGGTAGGGTAGGAAGATGTTCACCTGCGCTACAGTTTCAAGGGCTATCCCATGCGATGCTCATGGGCCAGAGGAAGGGAGATCAGCCGAGGCCTTGGACGTGCCATGAACAGGTACGTGGCTGGACAGCCAGCCGAAGGAATGACTGAGTAAGTCTTCCTCGCCACGGTGAGATGACTTGCACTGCGCTCTACAGTCCAGGAGTTGCTTTGGCATTTGTACCACTACATAAAGAATCAGCAGATGCTAATTCTGTGCAGATAGACGTCCTTTCAGCAGTATGAATGCCTGCGACTCCCCCTCCATGCACGGATTCCGGTTGACCTTGCTCCTGGGCAGCAGGCTGTGGAAAGGTGCCATTCACCCATCCTACCAGCAGGTGTCCCCTTCACACCAAACGTGACATGGCGCTGATAGCAGGCCTCTGTCCTGCCACTTCTGCCAATTCCTGCTGATCTGCACCCTCAGGTCCTCCCTGGCTTATTGTGCTGATATCCCCCATTCTGGAACTCGGGGTGGCAACATGCAGTTTGCAGTGGTCTCCCTTCAAGCTCAGGGCAGCCCCGGGCCTGCCCAGTTTAACAGGGAGGATGCCATCAGGCCACAGGGGTCAACTTACAGCGACCTATGAGTGAAAGCCCCCCAAATGCTCTGTCCGTAGGGCCCCTTTATGAGGCAAGCCCATCTCTTACTTGCCCTCCCTAACAGCTTGTCTTTGCCCAGCATGGTCGTCTTTTCCGGTGAGTCTGTCTTGCCACCCCAGGACGCGTCCCAAGTAGGACAGCCTCAGGCTTGTCCTTTTGGCTTCTAGGGAAAGCTCCAGCTTGATTTGATCAGGACCCGCCTGTTCCCCCTCTTGATAGGCCAAGGCATTTGCCTCTGCCAGTCATTCAACCCAGGCACTCCGTCCGTGGCAGCAAGTGCGAAATGTGTGCTTGAGCAAGGCCGTGCCTTTGAGAATCGGCACAACTTGCTCCAGGCTTCCCCAGTGCTGGGCTGCTCCCATCATCCTCAGCCCCAGTGCTGTGGGGAGGGGAGGGGAGTTGCAGTTGGGTGTGGCTGACCGACTGGAACTCGGAAGGGGGTGCTCGCCAGGTTTTGTTGAAGGTGTCATGCGTTTGAATTCCATTGTTTCATGGTTGGCTGAAAGGCATGTTGGGAGTTGAAGTCCCAAGTGCTTCCATATAGCCTGATCCTGACTCAGCTAGGAAGCTAAGCTGGCTGAAATCTGAATGTTATGAACCATTCAGAGACCTCTTCCATGGGCAGTATAGATATGTAATTAATATTATGGTCTGGCACATCTGGAAGCCACCAGATTGGGAAGGGCATGTCTGTCATTTCAGGAGACTTAGAACCTCTGAGTTTGCATTATCCACCTCTTTTCTGACATATCCCTTGGGAAAAATGTTTCCCTTCCAAGCCCATGTTCTGTACACAAAAAAGGGAGCCAACCTTAGTACCCAAGTGCTTGGTACGACGAGTTCTTCATTTTCAAGAGAAGGCAAGCATGGCATTAAGAAAGGCCTGAAGTGTGTGCTTATTTCAGAAGTCAGCCTCCTTAAAAGGGATGCTAACACTAGATTTAAATCATTTGTTTTGCAGAGGTGGGGGAAGTAGAAAGAGGGGCCACGCTGAACCACTGCAAGTGCCGGCCATGGGCGGAGGAGGGTAATTGTTCCAGCTGCTTCAGCAGAGAAGCAAGAATGCACTGGGGTCAAGGGCACGACGGTCAGACTTTCTGTCTTGAGCTAAATCTACTCCAGGTGGTCCCTGTTACCTGCAGGCTAGAACATCCCTGCGCTCTCCTACACCAGTGCATTCATCTCTGCATGCTCCTGCGTGAACGGGGGAATTGGGGCCCGGGGGCAGGCTCCTCCGCCTACCTGCTGCACTGGGTGCTGCTGTCTTGAGTAGTCCTAGAGGGCATCTGCAGGAGATGAAAGGGGAGAGCTGTGCACCCCGTGCCAGGCCATGTGTGTGCCCCTAAGAAGCCCCTCTCCATCTAGAGGTTTAACCTCGAGCACTCCTGAGGACCAACATGCAGCCGGGCAGAGTTCCAGAAGCCGTCCATAACATGGGCAGGGAACATGGCCGGCCAGCTCTGGTGGGGCGACAGCGACCCTCAGGCCTCACCATGAGCTCTGCAGCCTCAGGCTAATGGGAACAGCAGTCCTCCAAGGGCTGGAGGAAGACATGGCTTCCCATCCCTCCCCTGACATTCACCCTGCTCTCCCTTCCAAGGCACGGTGTTTTTAACCCGGGGCAGGCAGGGAGGGGACTCCATCACCCATCAGCTCCTGCAGCCCTTCTGAAAAGCACGAGTCATTGTCCCAAGTTGCAGATGCAGGAAAGGGCAGCGGGGCCGCTGACAAGGATCGGTTCTCATGAGCACATCAGACCCGTCCTCTGTCATGCTGCTCACGGGGATGAGATTCCCAGGCGCGCACAAGGGCTGGCTGGCTTGGTGGCTCGGACTCTGAGGAAGATGAGGGGATGGCTGAGCCAGATGTTAAGACTCTTCCAAGAGTGGCTGAAGAGACTGTCTTGCTTGGAAGGGGACGCCTAGCTCACGACAACGTCCTTCGGCTACTCCGACCACCTGCTCCTCTCTGGGCCAAATTCAAGCTTTGAACTACAGCACACAAAGCCCTAAACAGCTTGGGGCCACAGTACCTTAAGGAGTGCCCTCCCCCAGGTATTCCTGCCCGTCGTCCAAGATCTTCACCTGGCGCCCTTTGCAGAGGCCCTCTCCCCGAGGAGGAGGAGGAGGACGAGGTGGTGAGTCTGGGCCCTGTCAGTGGGGCCCCCCAGTTATGGAACTCTTCCGCCAGAGATTCTCCAGGCACCCACCAAGCTGAGCTTCAGGCAGCTTTCCTTTTCCAGGGCACCTTTGCTACCGTCTAGACATCAGTGCACAGTTTTTTTTAACTATATTAATATATGTTTTTTTTTTATGCAAGTATTTTATTCTGATTTTTTTTGTTTTTATTTTCAATCGTATTACCTAATG